CTGCCCTGGGCATCAGAACAGGGTGCAGAGTATCCTGGGCTCAATGAAGAGTGTGATTAGTAATGTCTGCCCTGGGCATCAGAACAGGGTGCAGAATATCCTGGACTCACTTATGTTGGCACTGTTGCCAAACGTCCTACCTGTTTACCTGAGTGGATTAATTTGATTTTGTTTCCACACTACCAATGATTCCAGTTACAACTAACCCTCTTGACACTGGTTAGCATGATTTGGGCCCTTGAGAGGACCAGTAGCTCACGGATAGGCTGAGGAGGAAGCCTTTTTTAGATTACTAGTGGAGCCAAACTATACTTTAAAAAATTTGGTCTGTGTGTTTTGCATGTGTGTGTATTTGTGTGTGTGTGTATGTGTGCATGTGTGTGCATGTGTGCATGTGTGTGTATGTGTTCATATGGGCCTGTGCATGTGGAAGTGAGAGTTGATGTCAGATATTTCCCTCAATTGTTCTCTACCTTAAAAAAACAAACAAACAAACAAACAAAAAAACATGTATTCTCTCTCTGGTTGTGTGTGTGTGTGTGTGTGTGTGTGTGTGTGTGTGTGTGTGTGCGCGCGCGCGTGTGCATACTCTATAGCATACATGTGAAGGTCAAAGGATGAATTGCTTCCTTTCTTCCTTCATGTGGGATCCAGAGGTCAGACTCAGGGTTAGTTATCGATCTTGATGACAAAAGTACTTCTACTGGCTGAGCCATCTGGCCGACTGATATTTACTAGTTTTCTAGGATGTATGTTAATAAGGTCACAAATGTCATCAAACTCTTGAGAAACACACTGAGGTCTTTTACAGGTGATGGGAAAAGGGATGCATTACCTAGACAGCCAAACCCTTCTGAGTCTGAGTTTCTAAGTGTCAGGGTCTGGCTTTTAGGTGGTGCTTGCCTTTTGGGGACACAGAGTTACAATAGGACTTGAATCTGGTCTCAGATAGTCTCATGGGCACTGGGTGCCATGGGCTTAGCCAAACCAGGTAGTTGCTCCACTCGGTTCTCTGGGTGGTGGCATACTCCCCCCTGTTGGAGCCTGCTGGGTAGCCTGGCTGAAGGAGCCTCCTTTCCAAGCTTATGGCAGCTGTGCCCTCCGTGTGTCTCTTGCCTCTGCCCTCGGTGTTCCTCAGTGCTGGTCAGAGCTCTGTGCTTGACCCGGGTCAGTCCGCCCTTGTTCAAGCTTATCTTGCTTGGGTCTTTTGAAAGCTTTGGACATTTTCCCCTTGGGTCTGGAATTTGCTGACATCTTGGGGTGTGTATCCCCGATAGCCTGTGTCAAGGGCTGTCACCAACACTGTCTCCACCCAGTAGTCACAGCCACCTCGCTGGGTGCTCTGTGCAGTGATGAGCTGACTGCTTGTCTCTTAAACTCTCTGAGGGAGCATCTTTTATGATCATGTGTGTGTGTGTGTGTGTGTGTGTGTGTGTGTGTGTGTGTGTGTGTCTCAGAGGGGAAGGATAGGGGAGACCTTCTGCCCCAACCCAGGCTGTCTGAATCACAGCTGGAAGGTTGCTCCGTCTTTACGGGCCTCCCCACTTTCCTTGTTATCAGTTACCCGTATTTGTGCCCCAAGCAGGAAGGCGGCCGCCGTTCTGAATGTTTGTGACCCTTACTGTTGAGGGGCTGGTTTTGAGGCCAGCAGTTGGCTGGCCTCAGTGAAGGGGGGGGGGGCGCCATTCTTGGGACCAGACCATCCTAACTCCTCTCCCCATTTGTAGCCTTTCCGCACCATGAATGACAGCAAGGGGTTTCCCCGCCCCCTGCTGGCCCCGGTTCTCAGCACATCCCTGGCCTCTGCCTGAGGGCACATGGCTGCCACATGCTTTTGCTACCCATAAAGGTGACCTTTTCTTTGCTGGACTTCCCACAGGCAAAGCTGGTGCGATACATCTGCAAACAGCGGCAGTGTAAGCTGAGTGTGGCCCCCAGTGACCGGACTGCCGAGCTCAACAGCTACCCTCGCTTCAGCGACTGGCTGTATATCTTCAACGTGAGGCCCGAAGTGGTGCAGGTATGCAGCAGGACCCAGGCCAGGGACAGGCAAGAGGGGACAAATGGGAGCCACATCCAAACCTGAGAACGAGGCTCACAGGGCTAAGATAGAGGAGCTACGCGCTCTGCTCTTGGGAGCGGAGAAAGGGTGGTATGGGATTCGGGGAACTGCAGCATCCATAGGAACCCAGGGTACCTGTGGCTACAGCAAGTGCCCTGGGTGCCATTGCCTCATAAACTGGGGCAGCCTCACCACACTGGTCATTCATTTGATCATGACGATGACCTTCTTTTCTGGAAAATCCTTGGCTCTAGGGCAGACATTGTGTTTAACACTGACTGACATTGTAACCTGGGGGCTGGAGAGATGGCTCAGAGGCTAAGAGTACTTACTGATCTTACGGAGGACCCGGGTTCAGTACCAGGACCCAGGACCCACAGAGTGGCTCCCAACCGTCCATAACTTCAGTTCCAGGAGATCAAAGGCCCTCTTCTGGCCTCCACAGTCACCAGGCATGCACATGGTACACACACATACATGCAAACAAAACACTCATCCACATATTAAAAGAAAATGACATTGTTATCTTACTCTGTCGGAGTTCGCGGAAGAGGGTTTTGCCATTGCTTATATTCAGGGACATACAGCTGGCAAAGTGGCAGTCAGGACTGGGAGACAGGAATCCGAGCTCAGTTTACTCTCCATACTGCTGAGCTGTGCTGTCTGTCTTCTTCAGTCCGTCTTTCCATCCATCCAACCCACCCCCAACATATCACTTAACCAGCCTGTGTACTTGAAGACTGTATCGGGGTACAGGGCAGCACTCAGGGAGCCACCGTAAGCAACCATGTGGAAGCTGGGCTTCAACAGGTCAAGTCTCGTAAAATCTCCTACGTCTGTTCTAAAATGTAAAAGACGGACCCTCGCTCGCGCTTAAAGTTTTAAGTCCATTCTGCGAGGGAGGGCGCTGAGGAAAGAGAACGGAGAAGAGTGTCCTGCACATCTCTGCCACTCACAAACAAAACAAAACAAAAAACAAAACAACCCTTTGCAGTTCTGATCCTCCCCCCCCCCCCTCCACCGATGTAAAAATATCTGTAACATTTTCAGGGCGTTAGTTAGGACCGGCCAGCCCGGCAGGGAGTCACTGGTCTCCTGTGGTTCTAGCTATAACTTTTGAGATGAGGGCTGAAGCCTGGATACCAAAGAAGGTATAAAATTACCTTGTGTGTGTCATTTCCTGTCTGCCACAGGTTGAAGGAACAGTCGTTTTTGGACATATGAGGGTTGGTAACATTACTAAAATCAGTCTCCTCTGCCATTTGGTGTGGTTGGTTGGTTGGTTGGTTGGTTGGAGACAGGATCTTGCTATATAGCCTTGGCTGGCCTGGAACTCTGCCTAGACCAGCAAGGTGGCCTCAGACGTGAGGTGGTCCTCCTGCCTCTGCCTCCCAAATGCTGGCTTATAGGTGTGCATCACCCTGCTCCGCCTGGCTGTTTGGTTTTTTTTATTTTGTTTTGTTTTGTTTTGTTTTATCCTTGACAAGTGTGGCCGCTCAGATGGGAATTTACGTGCGTTGCTCCTCTGGTCCTTCTGCGGCACATCCCCCGTTGGGACGTCTAGAGCAGTCTTAGGCTTTGCTCTCATCTTTTGACAGTTAACCAGTGTGTTTGTCTCACGTCTTCACACTTTCGTGTCTTATTTATTGTTTCTTTATTACTGTTTTTCAGAGTGGGTGTGATCAGTTATCAGACAAAGGTGAATTCCAGCCATTGGCTCTTAGATGTGGCAGTCTTTGTAAATACTCAGTAATTTTCCCTAGGAGACATTCCTGAGTGGAAAATAGCACCAACGTACGGCGTGCCTCGGCCTCTTGTGGGGTTGGGGAGTGAATGGACCCCAGCCTGACTGGCCCCAGTTACCTTCATGTGCAGTGTGGTCCACGGTGTAGGCAGAAAGAGAGGGCGGGGGGAAGACTGGGGGAGACTGCTTTGTACAACAGGCTCCTTGAATGTTCACAGTTGCACTCCCACACGCTTGCAAGAAGTGATCAGGGAACAAACAGAGACCCACGGATGCCGACGGGTGCCTTCAAGCCGCTTTCACACAACACAGCGGCAGGGGTTGTTATGAAGTGAGCAAGCAGAGGCCTCCCTCTTCCTGTACTCTGAGATAACCGCCTTGTTCACAGTTGCCGGGCACCCTGGCCAGTGCTCTCCGTGCACGCTGCAGTCATTGAAACTGACAGTTGACATTTGTTCCCTTCCTGCCTTGTGTTTTCTCTAATGGGATCGTGCAGGATGAATTCCGCGTGATGTTAGGCTTAGTCTCGCCTTTGTGTAAATGCAGAAAATCCACCTCATTCTTCTTTCACAGCACAATAGTGAGAGGATTCTTCAGGATGTCTGACCATGGGCTGGGGATGCAGCTCAGGAGATGAGTGCTGCTGCCTGGAAAGAGACCACGAACACTTCCCAGCCTGCTGGGGAGGGCTGGATCCACTCAAGTGATGGCTGGCCTACTGTGCGGGAGCAGGGACATCCCCGGGAGCTGAAGAGGAAAAGGAAGACCTCCACCAGACACACACACACACACACACACACACACACACACACACACACACACACACACACACATACCGTGAACCTTTGGGTTCTATCCTCAGCACCAGGAGGAAGGGAGGGAGGAAGGAAAGGAGGAATCTGTTGTCATGAATGATTGTGTTTGGATGGGACCGCTTGCTTACACAGTGGTGTTCACGGTGACATCAGCATCTGAATGAGGCTGAATCTGTGCCCACAGAAGCCACTTACCTAGCCCCAGAGTGACTGGCATCCGTGGGGACAGAGGTTGGGGATGTTGGGGTTCTTCTCAGTATCTCTCCATCTCTCAGTATACCAGATCCAGGACACCTGGAAGCTGGGTCCAGCCTTGGCATCTCATCACAGGATGATGTGTCTTAGGGCTGCCCCTGAAGCCTGTGTGTGTGTGTGTGTGTGTGTGTGTGTGTGTGTGTGTGTGTGTGTGTGGCAGGGTGGTCTTTATGTGGTAGGATTTGTACCTTCCACCTCTTGAAGCTTGTGCTGACCTTGGCTCTTCACAGCTTCACGGCCGAGGAAGACAGATACATGAATCACATACACATGAAGCCGTCTGAAGATAGGCTCTCCTTTACAACATCGCCTTCCTAGGGTTGGCCAACCATCACCTCAGCTTTATGCTGCAGGTTGGACAATGTTCGTGGTCACTTGCCAGGCAACAGAAGAAAGAGGGATGTCAAGCCAGGCCCACGTGGTGGCACACACCCTTAATCCCAGCATTCAGGAAGATGAGGTAGGAAGGTTGTGAGTTTGAGTCTATCCTGGGCTACACAGTTCAAAGTTAACCTGGGCTGCGTAGCAAGACACTGCCTCAAAAGAAATTCATTACTTATGAGTTGACGTGATTGTGGGGTGACAGCTCCACTCCCAGGCTCCTGGTAAGCCGAGGTGACCACACTCTTTCCATTTGTCCTTACCTGTCTTACCTAGGATTGCTATTGCAGTGATGAAACACCAAGACCAAATCAGCTTGGGGAGGAAAGGGTCCATTTGTCTTCCACTTCCCCTTCACTGTTCATCACTAAAGAAGTCAGGGAAGGAACCCGGAAAGCTGGCACAGAGGCCATGGAGGAGTGCTGCTTTCTGGCTTGCTCAGCCTGCTTTCCTATACGTACGTGCCCAGAACCACCAGCCCAGGAGTGGCCCCAACCACGATGGACTGGGCCTTCCCACACCAATCATTAAGAAAATGGCTTACAGTCTTACCTATGGCCCAGTCTTATGGAGGCATTTTCTCAACTGAGGCTCCCTCCTCTCAGATGACTCTAGCTTGGATCAAGTTGACATAAAATTAGCCAGCACATCACTTGAGTGGATCCCAGCCCTCCACCACTCAGTGCCTGCTGTGGTTCTTTTTAACCTGGAAATCTTGGATTCCTCCTCTCTCCCCACACCTGGGGATGCCCATTGCAGACCCTGGGCAGAATTTTTGCCTAATGGGACCTCCATGGTAGGGATGCTCTACTCCTTCCACAGTGGGGTAGCCCAGGAAATGGTGTGTTAGACACACTGGCAGCCTGAACTCTGCATGGTTCTGTATCAACATGAGCTTTAAATTATGTGGATGTTGGGCTGTCTCTGCACTTGAGCTGTGCAGGTCTTGAGTTTGCCTAAGAGGGCCTGTGCCAAGAGCTTGGTTGCTCTGACACTCTCTCTGCTCCATTAGCTCCAGATTTGGATAAAACACAAATTGAGAGCCGACGTAAGGTGCTCTGATGGAAGCCAGCATGGTGTGTGTGAGGCCAGCAGACAGACTCATCCTAGGTAGTTAAGGAGAGATCACAGCAGGAAAGACATCAGACAGTACCAGGGAAATGACTTTTCAGCCCCTAACTAAGAAGAGCACCCAGACAAGGGAACAGTATCTGTGGGGCCCCTGTGGCTGTGTGGGGGACCAGCCCCCACCTTTTCCTGGATACTCTTGGTGAGTGAGGGATAAGAGATTTAGATAGAAATAAAGAGGGGAGAGAAACAAATAGAGACACAGGATAGCCTCGGGAGGACTTGGATCCTTATCCACCGGCCGGCCCAGAACTTTATTCCAATGGGCTATTTATAACAATAGGCAAAAGACCTCCCCCTTGCTAGATACAACCAAAGGAGACCCTTCCAAACACCTAGCACCCAAGCCCATGGTCCAGTCATCTTCTTATACAGTCCTGCTAGGTAAAGCAAGCTTAGATTTCACTAGGAAACCTCTGTGGGCTCCCACGTGGCTAGAAAAGCCATAGCTATGCTCATAGGATACACTGGAGAAGGATCTGGGAGGAGGCTGGTAAGGAAACTGGGCCAGTTCAGGAACTCCGTGTGTGTGTGTGTGTGTGTGTGTGTGTGTGTGTGTGTGTGTGTGTGTGTGTAGCACAGAGCGTGAGTTTGTCTTAAGGGGGTAACTGAAGCACGTGAGAGAGCAAAGGATG